GGGTGAGAATAGAATCTGAATAAAATTTAGTCTATTGGCCCTCCAACAGGGCAAACAGACGGTAACCCCATCGCCAAACTACCTTAATTCCCACTCCTAGGCAGTACTCGTAGGCCCCGCAATTGCAACTTCCATTCCAGTTGGGTGGCGGACAGGTCGTGGTACACCTGGATCCCGTGCAGCTCCGCCGGACAGGCCGTTGTGTACATGACTGACTTGCCTTGCAGCACATCCACCTTGCCCACTAGCCAATCGAATCGCAGAATGACGGGCCGGGGCTTGTCCGGGTCGAACCGGCTGACCCGGACACAGTCAGCCACAAGCACTGCCCGTCCGACTAGGCGCTCCGCCACCCGCTCCACCTTCCACGCCAGGTCGCAGGCGCCCTCCACCGGGGAGTCCGCGAGACAGCGAAGGCAGAGTTGCCACCACCGAAGCTCTGCCTGGAGCTCCAGCAGCTCGTCCAAGTAGGCGGGCCAAGCGGATGCAGCGACATGCAACCACCGGCGCGCATCCAGCGGGTCGGGAGGTGGGGGGAGGCGGCCGGACTACAGGACAGTTGTACGTATTGTGCCACAAGTATTAAGGAATATGTGGATAGTCCGGCCGACCGCACGATGCCCCACCGTTGGGTTAATCAATAAGAGGACCGCGTTTGCGCAGCGGGCGCGGATACCCGGCCTTGTAACATGTGAAATGTTAGTTGTGGAAATCGTTTTCATGCTCCCCATTTATCGAGGAAGACGCGGCGCTGTCCATGCCGCTGCTCCGCAGAGGCCGTTGGCTGCGAAGTGAGCGATTTGAACGGGGTTGTCAATAGACGGAGTCGGTCTCAGAGCCTCAGTGCCTGCCAGGGACACCTCGGCCCGGATGACCTCCAAGCGGAAAGCGGGCCGCGTTTGCCCCATGCTGTCGCCCAAACCTACAATTCCGGGAAGCTCTTATCCCCGCGCCGGCTTTCGCGCGTCTCCCCACACCCCCTTTCGCGCGTCTCCCCACACCCCCTTTCGCGCGTTCTTGCCTGGCCGCCGCCAGATTTGCGAAGAGAGCGAAGGACTCCAGGAAGTGCAGCTGGGTTCAACCGGCGAAAGGGCCCAGGTGGGGCCCCTCGCTGCTCGCGCTGTGTTTTCAGACCCCGGCTTCGCTGCTGACGCACGACGGACAGCACGGACACCAGCTTCCACCCAGTGCTTCGTCTACCGGAGGCGTCGCTTCGTGTTCCTGTGATATGACGCTCAGGCAAACTCGTGAAGCAGACGTTCGGCAAGGAGGGGTGCCAGCACCGGCATAGTCCCCATCCCGACTGACTGGGGTTCTTACGTGTCGGCTGGGAGGCTGCTGTGCCTTCAGAGGCCACTTGGAACTACTGCCAATGTTGGGACCATTCTCGGCCAAATTCTTGTGTCTCCGTTTGCACTTACTGGGGTCTTTGGCGTGGTCGGATGCCAAGTTGCAACTCGACTGTCTTCCCCATGTCTTCTGTTGTGCCGTTGACCTACCGTTTTGCCTGTGAGCAGGTAGACACTATGTTGACACTCTGTGTGTGTGTGCACAGTTGACAGGCTAGGGCGCCGTTGACCCACGGCGTTGAAGTTGATGTGCGAGGGGGTCCATTTCGTGCGGGTGAGTCCAGCAGACTGCCGACGCACTTGCGTTGCTGCCCCAGTCCCACTGCAGCTTCTGCATTTGACGTTGTCACCGGGTTGTTGACAGTCAGGGGTACCGCGCTGTGTCTCTGCGCGAAGATGTCGTCGCAAGGAAAAGGAATTTCAAACGGAAATCTGTGGCACGTTCGTAGTTCTTTCACTGCTTGCTGTTGCCGGCTTCGGAGTTTTGGGGCGGAAGTACTCACAGAGGGGGCGCCTCTATCGCGTTCGGTTCGAGTTTCGCACCATCAGCGCCAGTGATTACAAGACGCCATTCAAAGCCTACAGGATTGAATCAATGTGTTGCGTGTGCAGTGAATGTGAGGCAGCATGGTGGACACTGAAGCCAGTGCTGAAGGCTTGGAGGTGCCCCTCGTGTGTCTTGTCGGCGAATCACTGCGGATGCGGATGCAGCATGTCCCCTGCTACCTAATCCATGACTGTTGTTGGGTACTGTCAAAACCAGATGTCTTGTCGCCTACTGGAGAATTGCCTGGAATGTGCTGGGATTGGATTCCACTGATTTGTTTCCTGGAATGGATTTCAACTGTTGCCGTGACACTCAGCTGCTGGCTTCAGTTTTTCCATGGCGTACTGTCGGGGAGGTGTGTGCCACCAGGTATTGGGCATGCTGGCTGATGCAGATACCTTTCCTTGTGATACCTGTATACCTTTGGCACCATCAATGTTAGACAGGTGCAGTGGACATCCCATGCATAGCACCTTCTTGGACTGCTGTATGCCTCTGAGAAAGGGGGTGGAATGTCTTCTTGTGCTCTGCAATCTTAAGAGACTTTCATGTTCACTTTTGCACTGGAAAATTGCATCTTGCACTCGTCGGCACTGGGAGCACCCTACACCGCTCTCCTCTGTAACAAGCTTGTTAACAAATCCTGAAGGATCATTTCTCAGTATGACTGCCAATCGGACTTCCTAACTGGGCGTTGTGCCTGCAGCCAAGTCGGCATTGCCAGCTGGTCAGGCAATTGTAGAGCTGGTTTATGTTGTGGGCATGCGACCTGGTGCATATCGCATAAGCACAATAGTCATTGGAGACACACATGCATTTTTAGCATGAAACCTGCTGGCTGTGGGGGACGATCTGCAAACACTGTTGTTGTGTCCATCAAGCTGTGTGTTCAACTACCAATTGTATGTGTGTGTGTGTGTGTGTCTTGTGTATTCCTCACAAACAGGGGCATTTGCAGCGCCAACAGCCACTGTACAACAAATGCATTCTGGGCTTCCTGCATGCCCAGCTGGAGAAGCTGCAAAAGTTGGAGACGCCTGCCACTGCAACTGCAAAGCAAAAGGACATCTTTTACTCACTTCTTGGGAAAGGAGCAAGGCTGATTGCAATGCACAACACCCGTTTTGATTTCACAAACTTTCACAGGACCCAAGATGTGTGCGAAACAGTGGAGAAGATCCTCAAGGGCCTGAAAGAGACACTGGATGCATGGGGGCTGGAGGATGACAGATTTGTCAACTGCAACATACCAAGCAAGCTGGTGGAAGAAGATGAAGAGCTGCTGCGCAAGCTCCTCAATTTTGTGCTGAAGGAGGTCCCTTGTGAAATTGAAGATACACTAAAGAAGCGCTGGGAGGATATCAAGACGAGCAATGCACAAATCTTGCAATCGGTGGGCATCGTTGATGAACAGACACTTGAATGGGGAAGACAGCGTGGCCAGGGCAGCCAGGGTGCAGTGTTCGAAGCATCATGGGGGGGCGCAAAGGTGGCCGTCAAGAAATTCATCAGTCGATGGCAGGGTGACTTACCCATTGAGAACTTTGCCTTCTTCCTCAATGGTGCCCTGATGCACACCCGCCTCCATAATCATCCAAACATCATTCGGCTGTTCGCTGCCACGGCTTCAGGCTGTTTGATCATGGAATGGGCAGATTCCGATCTGCACACTCTGTGCTGTGTTGCCGGCAAGATGTCCTGGAGCTCAAAGTCTAGGCTGCTTCGACAGGGGGCTGCTGGTTTGGCACACATTCATGCTCAAAACCTCATGCACGGGAGCGTAAAGCCACCTAACTTTCTTATCATTGGTACAGATGTTGACAACTGCCGTTTGAAGATTGGCGATTTCGCATTGTCCCTTGACGACACATCATTCAGAAGCAAGTGTGGAAAGATGGATAGGGAGACGATGGCATGGAGTGCTCCTGAGGTATTGCAAGACAACCCCATCATCGACCGGAAGTCTGATGTGTATTGCTTCGGAGTTGCCTGCTACGAGGTAGTCAGTGGTCAGCAGCCTTTCGATTGGGAGAACACCACTGTGTGGGCCATGATTAGGATGAAGTCCTCTGGAGAAGAGCCATGTACAGTGGGTCCTCATGACTGCCCGCCGCAGATGCTGGAGCTGATGAGGAAGTGCTGTGCCAAAAACCCCGCAGACAGGCCGACCATGGAAGATGTCAGCAACATGTTGCTGCATCTGCCTGAGCACTGGAGCAGCATCTCCGATGATGCTGGAAACTCTGCTGACAGTGCACAAGAGGTGTGGGTGGTTTGCCATCACTGAGTTCGTGCAAAGTAAATCATATTGCAGGAAAATCGCTGACCCTTGTGCACCTGCATTGCTACATCATTGGCATATGTGTCTGAAACACTGTTTGTCATGTATGTTGGGCCCAGTGGCGTCACTGCCTGATATTTCTTTGTGCTGCATTCGTTGGCAAGAAATCGAGTATGATGTTAAACACCATGCTCTGGAAATCACCAGAATGTGCAATTTTGATCTCCAAACTGTGCAATATGCCTGACTTGCATGTCCGTACATTGTAGGCAATAGTAAATTGTGCACATTTCCGCCATGCCAGTGTTTTTGTGTTTGCACACAAGCCCTTATGCTGCGCTCTATGATGCAGGTACTCCACTTTTTTGTGAAGGAGTCTTTTGAAATTATAGCACAACATAGGTGTTGAACCATGTCAGTGGGTGGAGCTTTACGGGGCAAAAACGTGATTTGGGCGTCCTGGCAGAAGCGGAACTAGCATCAGCAGCTGACAAGTCAAATGATTCCATCCCCCAACCCCCATAGGCTACGTCCGAGCCGGTCTGAGCTGGCTACACTCGACACAATTTGCCGTGGGCATGGTATTGCCCTGGCGCTGGAGTTGGTGCTTTCGGCCATCATCTGGCGTAGTCCGACACCAAAATCAGTATATCAGTTTTGGCAAAGCCTTTGCTCATGTTTTAATTGCTGGCACCTTTTTGTTGGTGGTGACCCGGCTGCTAATTGCACTGGGCATCACCAGTTAAGCATTCACCTAGAGCAGGACCGAATGACGCAAGTCATTTGGGGCTGTCAAGAATGATTCCACGAATCATTCTTCCTGTGCGCCGCGACGCAGTGCAGACCAACATCATCTCGAGCGTTTGGCATTCGTTCTCTGCATGGGAACCGATGCCAACAGCACTCCCAGGAGCACTAAGTGTGCGGCATGTGCCACCGTACCATTCGTTATGTTCAACTGGCATACCTAAGTTATTGTGGAGAGCAATCACCCACATGTTTGTTGTGTTGCGGGCTGCTCGCGGAGCCATCTAGGTGATTCCTGTGGAGCCACCTCTGGAATACCCTCCCTCGGTGAGCTGCGTACTTCTTGCGCATGTCGAGTGCAAAGCTGCACAGCTGCGGGTCTTGTGGAATTCACTCCAAGGATCCCCTGGGTGTTTTTGTATGTGTCATTTGGCGTCCATATTGGCCGGCTAAGGGCATCACACCACCACCTATGGAGCCATATCAATAGCTGCGTTGTTGGCCACAGTTGACAGCGAAGGTGCATGATTCGCAAGCCCAGGTCGAGCATTCACAGCGGCTGTATTGCTGTTGCAATTTGCGTGACATCTGTCTTGGCACTGCGCTGGGGGCCCTGCTTCCCAAGGACACTGGCTGTTCGCACACCAGAATCGCTGTAGATGCATGCAACCCCGGAGGAAGGTCTAATCCCGTTTGGCTTGCAGTGGGCTGCGTTCGTGCCCAAGTAAACCACGACCTGCTGGCGCCTTGTGGGCTATGGCCTTGATGTGTTGTGAGTGGCTGGCAGTAAAACTCTCCCCTGGATGGGGGTATCGCGACTGCCGCGTCGGACGGTGCAAGGGCGACAGGTCTTGTGATGTGCAATGGCGACTCCTACAGCTCCAGGCGGCGAGAACGCACGTGTTTCCTTGGTGATAGGCGCCCCTGCTGTTGGGCGTCGAAGCATCATGGTTGGGGCTTGTGCGTGTGAATTGCTCCCCTGATGCACTTCATTTGGAATGTAGCTGGTACAGAACTGTACATAGCTGGCATGCTACTGGGATAAGCAATGTTAACGTTCATGTGGGTTGCTGCTTTAATGGTCTGTGATGGTAATGATCCACGGCGATTTTGCCGAGACCCGCCTGGATTCCGGGCCTTTGACACATTTTGTGTGTCTGCTGTCGCGATCACGCACATCGACTCTGTACGACTGCATGGCACTCTCTCTAAGTGTTTCTTCCAAAAGGGTTTGTCATGAGTCGACGTGCCGGGGTGAGACGGGCCCCCACTATTCACGGTTGCCGCGAGCCCCATCGCCACCTCTGCAAGTCGTTTGTGCCCCACAATCCCTGTTGGCGATGTTGGGTCATCTTTGGGACACAACGGCAGTGGTGGGTAAGGAAACAGCCAAGCTTTCCATCAGCCAACACAACTTGTAGACTCCTTGGCTGCATTCAAGGCCCCTCATTTGACTGCGATGTGGACATGTGGATATGTTTCATTTGTGCGGCGTTTGTTGCTGATATCTGTCCCACTATCTGCCTTGCCAATTGCATATGGGCTCTTGCCAGCATGACCCGATTGCCCACACCTTTTGTGGTATTGGGTGCTGCTTTTTAGGTCACTTAGGCTTGGTTTCGTTCCCAGAGGGCATGGCTGGCTGAGGTCGCTGAGCTGTGGGGCAGTGCAAATGGTGCCCAGGATGCAAAAATCTCTCACCAGTCATGTTGGACATATTCTGGTCGTCGATGTGCCTGTGTGCGCACACTGGCGCAAAGGCAATCAAACCGTGTAGGTTGTCATGCTGTCGGGTCTAACCAACCGGGGCACAACTACTTGGGAACAATGGCAATATGTGCAAGCGCTGGCAACCCCATGGATGGATGGCATTGTCAGTTGTAGAGATACTGCAGACAGGGCGCATGAAATGGAGGGCACTTGATGGTCCTGCAAGCCAGCATGTTGGCAATTTAACAGAGGCGGAAGACACCTGGCTGTTCCGCATCTTCTGTTAGGAGGTCAAAGGCTTCACGTTGTAAATGCTTTTGGGGGTGGGGGATGGGGGTGGGTGGGGGTAGGTTATGCACTAAATCAGAAAGGTCGCAGCATCAGCTCAAAGATATACCACAGACTGTGTCCTGATTTGGCAGCATTGAACAAGTACGCGTGCTGGAACAAGCACGATTGCAGTGGCTGAGTGTATTGTATTATGTTTCCACATATTGAGAGATGTGTGGAGGCCAAAGGTCCTGCGTAACAGGACAAGAGCATCAATGCAAGGTGGATATGGTGACAGGATTGCAGTGCTGTGTTCGATTTGGGTGTTGGCGAGTTTTTGTTGTGACAGATGTGTTGGCAATGATATGCTAGAATGCAGCACACCCAGCTGGGCTGCACTGATACAGCAATGCTCCAGCCCCAGAAGGCTGAGTCCAAAGGCCCTGAACTCAGGCCTGTTTTTGAGTCAGGAATGAGACATTTCTATGCTGCCTCCCAGCACATGGGGATGGGCCCACAGTTTGGCGTCCTAGTGTGTTGGAATAAGCATCTGCTGATCGTGTTGTGTGCGGTTGAGCTAGTGCTCCACGCAAAGGGTTACACAATCCATGAAGTGCCAGGGACCATTGCCCACGGATGTGATGTGGTAGTTGACGCAAAGTGGTGTTGTCTCTATTGTGCTGATGCATGTGCATGACAATGTATTCCTCCTGCTCATTGCGAGAGGGGACGCTGCACTTTGCTGCCTTTTGCTGTGCACCATCCTCTTGTTCTGCGACATACCAGAAGGCATCCATGCAGCCACACAAGCAGGGCAGCCTTGTAACAACAAGCAGGGGATTTTGCTCCATTGTCCTCTATGTGCTTGAATGCTGTGCACAGGTACTCGGAACTATAAACATTCTTGGGGTGGGACGCAGACTCCACTACGTGATATGCGATGAGTTCAGCACTTCTTTGGAATAAAGTAGTTGGAGAACGAATAGTGTACATATAATGCAACATGATATGTAGTAATTAACACAGATAATGAATAGTAAACAAAAGTAAAATGTGATATGTAAAGAGAGTAAATTGAATGGTTCCTGGTGCTGGCGAACAGGGGAGGTTGGAGCGCCCACAACCACTGTACAACCGACGGATTGTGGGCTTCCTGCAGGATCTATTGAGGAAACTGCAGCAAGTTGACAAGCCTGCCACTGCAACAGACTATGAATGGGACACCTTTAAGTCACTTATTGGGAAAGGAGAAAGGCTGGTTGTGACGCACACTACTGATTTTGACATCAGGGACTTTGATTGGCCTCGGAATGTGTGCGATCAGGTGGGAAAGATCTGTGTGGGCCTGAAAGGGACGCTTGGGGCATGTGGGCTGGGAGTTGCAGAACGCATCGTGTGCAGCATAACCAACGAACTGGTGGAAGAAGATGAGCAGCTGCTGCACAAGCTCCTAAATTATGTGTTGAAAGAGGTGCCATGTGACATTGAAGATGGCCTTAAGCAGCGCTGGGAGCACATAAAGATGCGCCACGCAGAAATCTTGCAATCCGTGGGGATCGTTGATGAACAGGCACTTCAATTGGGAGAAGAGTGCAGTCAAGGGGGCAGGGGGCAAGTGTTCGAAGCATCTTGGCGAGGGGGAAAGGTAGCATCGTGGCGGGAGGGGAAGGTTGCCGTCAAGAAGTTCATCAATCAGTGGCAGGGCGAATTGCCAATTGAGAGCTTTGCCCTGTTCCTCAAACAGGCCATTTCGCTCTTTGCTTTGAATGGCAACGAAGGCATTATTGCACTGCTTGCGACCACCACTTCAGGTTGGATGGTCATGGAATTGGCAGACACCGATCTGCACACTCTTTGCCACGATGGTGGTGAGACATCCTGGAGATCGAAGGCCAGTCTGCTGCAGCAGGGGGCTGAAGGGTTGGCCTTCATGCATAAACATGGCTTCGTGCATGGAGATGTTAATTCACGGAGTTTTGTGGTTGTGGGCACGGAACCTGACAACCGCTGCTTGAAAATCGGTGATTTTGGACTGTCTTTTGAGACGCCATCATCCCTTGAGCGTACATCGTCCTTCGAAATTGCTTTGTCCAGGAGCAAGTCAGCAACATTTGATAGGGAGAGGATCCCATATGTTGCACCTGAGGTCTTTGACAATAAACCTAACAGCCAGGAGTCCGACGTTTACGGCTTTGGGGTTGTTTGCTACGAGGTCATCAGTGGGAAGCAGCCCTACGATTGGAAGAACAAGAACCTCACTGAACTGATGGAGAAGATAGCCCACGGAGAAGTGCCATGCGAAGTTGCACCTGGTGCTTGCCCTCCACAGATGATGGACCTCATGAAAAAGTGCTGTGCCCTCAATCCAGCGGATCGACCGACCATGGAGTCTGTCAAGAGCAGCTTGCGGCTGATGCCTGAGGAGTGGAGCCCTGTGGTCAGCAACAAAGGGGTAAGTCTGCAGCACTATGGCTGCATCGACTGATAGAGTGCACAGAAAGTGCACCTGTTTTGCTTGGCAATGTGCTGCACCAGTAGTGTATAAGCATGTGCTGCATACAATGATGGGAATAAGGGGCTTGTTTGTGTCTGAATTTCCACCTGCTGTCACAGTTTTGGATCGGTGTGCTGTGAAAACGTCCTCAAAGGACCCTAGGCCGGACATTTGTCTCGCGACAAACGCTGGGTAGCACATCAATTCAGGCAGTTTCAGCCACAAAATGAATTGGGTCAATGTTGCACACACAAGTTCATGTCATTGAGGCTTTTGCGAAGTGCATCCACTAACGATTTGGCTGTGGGGGTCACTGAGCCTTACAATTCACAAGAAGCATGTTGCATAGCCCAATGCTGCAAAGCAGATATGAACCAATGCTGGCATGGGACACTCTTGCATCTTTTCGCTGTGCATGGTACCCAGAAAATGCAACATATTAGGTACCCCCTTGCACCCTGGTTGTCTCTGATCAGTGCAAGCGTCCCCCAGATTTTGTCAAAACTACCTTGCGTCTCACCGAATGCCTGGCGAAATTTGGAAAAAGGAGATTCGATTCAGAGACGTCCCGCAAATATTGTCTGAGAAAGCACCAAAGTGCTGTGCCCTGGTGCTTGCTGGCCCACATAGACAACGCTGGTAGAGATAGGTGACTCTCTCGCTTTGATGCTGACCACACAGATAAAGCTTCAAGGAAACATGGGGTTATTGTTGTGTAGCCTACGGGGAGATGAAGATGGTGAAGGTGGCAGGCCACTAGAAACACTGTGGCTTGCAAAGCTGAGCACACAGGGGGCCCAATCGGACCCTAGAATGCATCGCAGCGGCTTGGAGGCCAATGGCATCGGGAAGGCTGGCAGGAATGCGGGCCTGTCATTGCACAATGGCAGCTGGCGTCGAAAGCCAGTGGCTTCTCCCCCATCTCTTTCACAATGTCACCAAAAGTCGCAATTCCGCCCTTTCTGACTCTGCCACCAATGCCCACAGACTGCGGATGCTGTCCAACTCCACCAGCGCTGCCACTCAATCAACGGGGTTGCCTTTGAACAATCACTTTCGAAGGCCATTCAGCCCATGTCCTCACCTGCAGACAGTGCTTCGGTTTCGTTGAATATTTTTGCCATGGGCGGCCACTGCTGCCACTACCATCCAGCATCGGCCCTTCAGCCATCAACAGCGTTGCTTTTGTGCCGCTTGCTAAAGCCATCCAGCCAATGTCCCAACAGCAGGAATGTGCACTCACTGTGCCTTGCACATTCCAGATTCAGCCTACCTGGGCTCATGACTGGCCGCTCCATCTAGCCAGTGCTTTGAGGTAACCTTCGACTTGATCCACAACAATGCTATTGTGCCATTGGATGTGACCACCCTCTTGCCCCCGCTTCTGCAGCAACTCCAGACACTACGCCAAGGGTGACGCAATTTGCGAGAATCGCCAGGAGAATAACTCCTTTGAAAAGCGCCGAAATTCACCAGTGTGGAAGCTTTTTTTCCCTGCAACACGTATCATTATGTGTTGTATCCTCCTGCATTTTGAACTTTCAGCATTACAATTTGTGCTCCACATTGTTTTAAATGAACGTTACTTTGGGGGCTCCGCATCGTCATCACAGCCAAAACGGTGACTCCACTCGATTTGCATGACCTCAAATGCTTGTTTTCTGCCACAGCAACTCATGCATCTGGGGCCCCAAGACGCCACGAGAGACCCTTGTGTTGTAGCTGGATCTGCTCCACATTTTCCTGGCAATGTTACGTTTTCATTGTTATTTGCCTAAAATAGCCAAATGTTACGTAACTATGCAGAAGGGTATTGTGTACTACCCCCATGCTTTTCATCTGGATATGAATTCAAGTGAGGGTCTGCATGCCCGAGAAAGTGGAACCCATCAGAAGCATCACATAGTCTAATGTGCTTGGAGAATACCCACCAAAGCTTCTTCAGCTGTTTCAGATTCTTGATTCTGGGCGTATTGGTGTCACCTTTTGTATGCAGTGTAATTCCTACGATTCCAGTCGTCTAAAAGTGACCAAGCACAGCAGTCGTTCCTGCAAAATGATGTGGGTGGGATGTAGGGTTGTGTGTGTAATCGCATTTTTAAGGTGTAGCAATTGTGGGCATGATAAAGAGTTGTCAAAGAAGTGCCCATTCCGCTTTTGGAGCCCCTTCCCCGTGCCCCTTCCCACACCCCACACCACACACCCTGCTTTGATGGTGCTCGGGCCCGTTTGCATTTGGGAACTTGCGAAAAGCGCCGTGTGGTGTCCCTCACTCCGGTGGAGTAGGTGCCTCTTCCACCAAGCTGTCTTTTTAGTTTTGACATTAAAATGAACTGGCTTCACTCATGACTGCTTTGCCTGATGTGGTAGGGCTGTTTTGACCCGAAGTGCATCGCCAATGAAGCACACAGACTTGTGCACACAACGAAATACAACAAGCAGATGTTGCTTTTCCTATGTCAACAGATGGAAAATGCAATGGCACTCGTTGATGTTGAGAAGTCAGTCTTCCCCTCAAGGGGTGCACTATGTTCCCCCTTCAAATCAAGCCTGACACTCATTACCAGGCACGCCAAGGGCTTCGATTTTCAGGACTTCTACATGGTTGAAGAAGCAAAGGAGATCGTGGAAGACATCTGTGCAACAGTTCGAGATATTCTGAAAGAATGCAACATCAAGGGTTATGCAAGTTTGGAGACACGGATACCAGGAGAGCGCATTTCAGAAGACTTGGCATTCCTAAAAGCGCGCCTCAATTACATGTTCGAAGCGCCCAGCGGCAAGCACCTGTCAAAAGCTGTAGATGAGCTTCGGATCTCCCCACAAGAGACCCTATTGCCATCGACTGAAAAGGATCCCGTCATTGAGGCCTGGGAGGAGCTGAGAAGCAAGTTCATGCGTGACATCGGGAAGATCGAAATCTTGGCAGTCGAAGATCTTGAGCTGGGTGAAGAGATAGAAGCAAACGGAAGGAACACTGTTCTAGAGGCTCAATGGACAACAGACAGTGGCTGCGAGCAAGTTGCAGTGAAGAAGCTGAATGACGGCTATGTTTCGCCGGAGCGCCTTGCAAACTTTTTTGGGGAGGTAATTCTGCAGAGGTCTGTTGCCCACACCTACACCGTTGAGATTCTGGGGATCGGCTTGTCTGGCTTCATTGTGATGAAGTTAGCGACTGGAAATTTGTTTGGATGGTGTCAGCAGCCCAGGGACTGGCCGGAAAAAATCCGATTCTTGCTCCAGGCTGCCCTTGGTTTGTTGCATTTGCATGAGAACCACTTTGTTCACAGAGACATCAAACCCGAAAATTTTCTGGTATACGAGGACGAGCCTATCGAGGTGCGGCTCTGCGATTTTGAAATGGCCATCAACCAGATGGAAGATCGGACGGTGTCAACGTTGAGGAGCCAACCGGGCACCAAACGGTACCGTGCTCCAGAGTTGCGCCATGGCAAGCCCCACAGTAGAATGAGCGATGTTTTCAGCTTCGGACTGGTCATGTGTGCGGTAGTGGCCAATAAGAAGCCCTATGGACGTGCAACGGAATACTACATGGACGCGATGAAGGCCAAAGGCGATATGCCTTGCTTTTTTCCCGATGATTGTCCCAAGGATTTAAAGCAGGTGATTCGGCAGTGCCTTGCTGTACATCCTAGGAATCGGCCAACCATGAAGGCAGTGGTGGGAGTCCTAGAGGTTCTCAGAAATGTAAAGGCATGAATGTTGACGATGAATGTTGTGTGACTTGCTGATGACGGCAAACACTGTGAAGTTGTATTTGGATTGATGAAGGCGTGCATGTGCAGGGAGTGTCTGCGAACACACTTGTCCCAGTGTGTATATGTTGTAAAGAGGCCCGCGCTCATAATTCCTCAGCAGGCTCGATATCTGTGTGTGGGCAGCTGGCACTCAGGCGACATTGGTTGGGAACGAAGATGCATGGATCCATGGCAGTTCGTCTGGAATTCTCAACGGTTTGAGGTTTCGCGTAGATCTGTGGAAAACATCTAGATGGGACATTACGAGGCGGGAATGCATGCCAGGCTATGTCCAGGGATGACATTATTATGATTTTGAAGTGCTTCAAGCACTGATGTGTCGCTGAGCGCCATACTGCTTGGCCGCCGGCCATTTTTCCAATTTTATATCAAACCTTGTTATCACGGCACAGCTGTGGTGGTAACCCACGTACCTTAGCCGCGCCAGATGGATAAAGAGCAGGCCTGTACTGCTGCAGAGCCTTAATTGCCAGACCAGCCGTCACAACGAGCTGGCATCGAATGCAGTTCCGATCTTAGGAAGACACCGCGGTCGCCTTCTTTCCTGCAGGCAAAACGGGATGCGGGACACACACTGTCTGGCAGCTGTTCAGAATCAAAGTCACAAGCACAGCAGCGATGGTGGGCCCAGAAAGAGAGTTTTTACAAGAATGTTCTGTGCATATTTATACTCGAAAAAGGGTGTCCCAGTCCCCAGTCCTAGCCACCGTTCGAGAAGCCTCCCAAGCTGCAATCCCCGTACGGAACCCCCTGAGCTTGTCCCCAAACGTCTCAAGTTCTCCGACAGCGGTCCCCGGCATGATACAACCCATCATAAACTCCATACGACCGGCTCAATTCAGTCCCCAGCAAGCGATTCCAATCCCATGTCATCACGCTCAGTCCCCAGTACGTCTCTACATAATGATCCAGTACTCAAGTCAATCAAATCTGTAAAATATGATGAAGTTGGTTCCAGCCTTGACACTCCACCAAAACGAATGTGCACAACTAAAATAACTCACTGATGATGAATTCCCAGCTCGGTCCTCCATTCCAAGCTCAGTTCTTCATGCCGGCTTAGTTACACGTCGGGGGGTCATACATTGGGGCTTGCGACAAGGGCAGCTCTCTCCAGGTGGACTCCTGGATAATTACAACAGGACAGGGCAACTAATATTTCTTCAAGTCACTGATTCCAGGCTGTGCTCAGCAACTCAAACAAGGTTGCAGCAGATCAGATCAACCAACCAAATAACTAATAGTACACAACCTCAAACTGGTTATATCAGTAGGGGTACTTAGAAAATCGCCACGCACAGCTCAAAAGTTAGGCATTGATAGTAATAAAGATAAATACATATAGCTGACCAAGGAATGGTCCCAAAACCCCCTTGCAAGGAGGGGGTGGGACTCACCCGTGGGGGGAAAGAGAAGCACCCCAACCGGTCAGGTCGGCATCCGTGACGAGGGTACCCACGAAGGGAACCGTGTCCGGGTTGAGAGGGCGCCCCTCATAGCGCCGGATGTTGACCCATGCCTCCAAGTCCAGCTTGGCTTGGGGGGTGAGGATGAGGCGATCCCACCAACTGCGCTTTGAACGAAGGATTGCATAGAGGCTTTGCAAGGAAAAGCAAGCCAACGGGAAGGCCAAATATAATGAAATGGCCAAGCCGCAGAAACGTGCCAAATCCTGGGCCACAACCCAGCGACAAGAATGCAAAGCACGGCCCCGAGTGGCCATAAAAACTGCTTTCTCCGGAGGAACCTCAAAACGACAATGCAATGTATCTACAATCACCCCCACATGCTTTTTTTCTCAAAACTGGAGTCCATTGACATTTCCGTTCCCTGAATTGAATGCCCAGTGAGGCAAACACCCCTCTCACAAACCCTAACTAGTGAGTCAAACGGGCGGCATCATGCATAGCCGCCAAAAAATCATCGAGATAGGCCAGCAACATAGCTGGCGGTTTGTGAGTGTACACCCAAAAATAAGTAGCTATTGAGTCATCCCTGGCTAAGCGCCCAAAACGAAAGTGATACCTTGGTGCAACTCCCCGGGGACCTCAAAAAACGGCCCACTACAAGCATAAATTGAGTGAAAAAGAATAGGGCCAAGAAGTGACCGAACAGAAGGGCCCGACAAGCAAAAACTTCGTCACCCATCCAAATTGGAGGAAGCATTCCTCCGATCGACACACGCGCAGGTGGTGATAAGCATCCTTAATGCCGAACCCCACCAATGAGTCATTGCGACTGAGTAAGTGACCGAAGTCATGCAGCTTCTCATAACGAAGGCCCACCTTGCAAAGGTGACGGTTGACCCGCCGCAAGTCGATGCACATGCGGTACTTCATGACGCCATCCTCCCACCCCTTCTCCACCAGGAAGGTGCGAGAGATCCACGAGGTCGGGCCCGCCTCCACCTTGATGATCACCCCCCGATGAGAGGTATTCCGCTTGGAGGAACGCCATGTTGCCCGCTCCTCCAAAGATCGGAGTGGGTAGGAGCCCTTGTCAAGGGAGCCGGGGGTCCACGCAGTCCCCAAAGGAGGGGGTTCCTGGAATAGATCCATTGAAGGACTTGAGAGGGAGCGCCGATCCGGCGCCATGCCAAAAGGTGGCCATGGACCCAGTTGTACAGGAAGTCCCTTACGGAGATGGCTTTGGGGATGGCGCCGTGGTCTGAGCTCCCTTGTGGGACTTGGGGCCGGTCGATTTTGCACTTTTGACTTTAAAATCTCTACTTTTTATTCTATTTTTAATAATTATGTTATTTTTTGGCCATCGCCTAGAGCTCCTTGCCAAAGTAGTGTAGAAAAGGCTGTGGAAGTTTGTCAAAAGCCTCCTACTATCTGTGACAGAGGAGTACAAACTCTGCAGAGACTTCCTACTCGCAGGTTCATTGAACCCCCTTTTGTTGTGCCGGAGGCTACAGTACTCCAAAATGACAAATCTCAAGTTTTCCAGTGCTCCGTTTGCTATGCCAGTGGTATAGCAAGGCCACACCAAAATCGCCAACTCGGAGGTTCACTGACCCCCCCTTTGCTATGCCAGAGGCCTAGCAAACAGTACTCCAAAATGAGAATTCTCAAGTTTTGCGATGCTCCGTTTGCTATGCTGGTGGCATAGCAAGGACGCATCTAAATTGGCAACTCGCAGGTTTTTTGCCATTTGCCTTTCCTGCGGTGGTCAACACACTCCCCTGAAAAGCCATTGCTTGGGCTGAGAGACAATCAATTTTCTGCGCTTGTGGCGTTGCAAGCACTTCAGTAAAATGCCAACTCGCAGGTTCTCGGACGCTTTGTTTGCCAAGACTGTGTGTGTGTGTGTGTGTGTGTGTGTGTGTGTGTGTGTGTGTGTGTGTGTGTGTGTGTGTGTGTGTGTGTGTGTGTGTGTGTGTGTGTGTGTGTGTGTGTGTGTGTGTGTGTGTGTGTGTGTGTGTGTGTGTGTGTGTGTGTGTGTGTATGTGTGTGTGTGTGTGTGTGTGTGTGTGTGTGTGTGTGTGTGTGTGTGTGTGTGTGTGTGTGTGTGTGTGTGTGTGTGTGTGTGTGTGTGTGTGTGTGTGTGTGTGTGTGTGTGTGTGTGTGTGTGTGTTGTTGAATTCCGGTTTGAAATTACATTGACCGAGCTCCGCGGCAGCTGAAGCCATGTGGAGCCATCTGAAACCGTGTTCTGTTCTTGATCACCAAAATGTCTGAATGATTCCCACTATCAGAACTCAAAACCGAGACCAAGAATGTGTGTGTGTGTGTGTGTGTGTGTGTGTGTGTGTGTGTGTGTGTGTGTGTGTGTGTGTGTGTGTGTGTGTGTGTGTGTGTGTGTGTGTGTGTGTGTGTGTGTGTGTGTGTGTGTGTGTGTGTGTGTGTGTCAATCAATCAATCAAGCTTCCTTAAATTTGATGCTCCAACAACTAAGGTCACGGCGCCTCTCTATAGTGTTCAGGAAACATGACGGGCAAATCAGAAAATGTTTGTCTCAATTGGAAACCCCCATACCCAAAAGAAAAGAACCCCCACAGGGAATGAAAGTCAGGTGAACCAACAGCCAGCGGACAAAGAACCTGGGTAACTCAAGGAAAATGTGTCATGGGGCAAAGCCCCTATCCCTCACTCCATCCCTCAAGTCTATCTCGACTCAACAGACTCCTCTAGACATCAGGAAACCTCATCTCGCACAACCCGGAGAAAGCGCCCCAGAGGGGCACAAGCAGACCTGGTCAGCCAAGCCAGTCCCCTGCTACTACGACCCAGAACCGGACCCATAGCATCCCGTCTGACCAAATTCAG